ACGTGTGTACAGGCCTGCCCCTCAGGCCAAATAATTCGTGAAAGTATCTGTCTGCATACCAGACCCTGGTTCATCCCAACTGTCGAGAGTGCCATTAGATCGTACTTCAGGACAATCATCAAGAAACGTGTTCACAGGCCTGTCCCTTAGACCAAATAATTCGTGAAAGTATCGGCCTGCATACCAGGCCCAGGTTCATTCCCACTGATGCAGATACCGGTTGCAGCCACCGCCAAGTTGGTTACCTATCTGTGAACACCCTTTCTCTTGGCACCTCCGATCGGTTGTGGCTATGAATAGAACCCCCCCATTTTCTCATTTCCCTTTTCTTCCGCCATACCCTAGACCCTCACTTGCTTGATATATCTCCCCCTCTTTATCGGGGTCCAACCCCCTAGCTTCCTTCGCCTGCCCTACTCCGTAGCTTTAACCGATTCCAATTATAAACCCCTACCGTCATTCCTTTGTTTGTTGAAGTACCCTGCCATTCAAAACTCCCGCTCCCGTAAGTGTGACTCGTCCCCATCACCGCTTCGGCCCGAGCTCTTCCGAAATTGGTCGCCTCCATCGCCCTCAGTCCGTACCAAGCCGGGTGCTCCCAGAGTCGAGGTCGTCATCTCCCCGGGTTGACCTGATTTCATGCCTCCTGCTGGGGGTTCTTGGCCTTTCAATGTAGGCCGCCCGGATCCCCTAGTTCCACCCTTGGGTAGGCGCCGGGTCACATAGATACCGTAAAGTATTCACATCACCATCCTTAGTCACTTCTTAAGTCCTCACTTTATCCCTCTGCCCTTCGGTTCTTCAAGCCACCGCACAGAATCTGTCTCCTTCCTGTCGGACTCCGGACCAAACCCCCAAACACTCGGATTCTTGCACTCCGCCCTCTCCCTCTTTACGGCCTACATTGCCCCCCTCTCTCGCCCTTTCTCAATCGTTAGCACGGGGCCTCTAGACCCCCGAAGTCCCTTGAAACCCATCAGTCTCAGGCAATCAGGCGTCCAAACCATGCAAAATTAAGCAACAAAGACCGAGTTTTTTTTTTTTTTTTTCAGGAAGTACCCTTGGCTGCTGGGCAGCCGCCCGACAACCAGCCCACACCCTAATTCTCGCCGTCCCCAGCGAGTCTTTTTCGTGACCCCTTTCTTTTTAACCGTTCCCCCTCGCCCAATGTTTACCCAATGAAGGTTTCTCACGTCCCAACCCATTTCCTCGGTTAGATCACGTTGTCCTTTTCTTCTTACTGGACTTGACCCTACTGTTTCGTCACGACGCCATCCATGACCCACGACACATCCCTACCCTATGACACCGGTCTATGGCACAATATCCTCTCAGGACTACGACTCATTGCCCCTTACGACACCCGTTTCTCTAACTATGGTATATTATGGTACAACTTTCCCTTCGACATATTACCTTTCCCAGAACACGTTTTCCTAACTATGGTACACCATTCCCCTCCCCCTTTTTACGTCCGTCTCCGTCTCCTCGTCCTCTTCTCACGCCACTCTCTCTTCCGTTTTCTCTCCTCTCTCTCACGTTTGAGTCGCAGGGCCTTTCTTGACGCATTCCTCCTTTCGTTCAACCTTCGTTTCCTTAATCAGTCAGTATCTCCGTCATCCTCCCTCGGTCGTTTCTTCTTCCTAGGGGTCTTTGGTAGGGCACTTTTCCGGACATATACACTTTCCTTAGGGGTGGAGAAAAGGCGCCTTGTTTGGAGGTCTCCCCTTTTTCGTGGGTTATGCTCACCTCTGTGTCAATAGTTTCTTTTCCTTTCTGTCTCGGCTCTTCCCCAAGTGTCTCTCGTGATCGGAAGATTTTGAGACGAACCCCTGCGACAGGATCCCGTAGCCTACTCCCATCTAATTCCGCGAGCATGTAAGCCCCCCCATCCAATCTCTTTAGGACCTTATACGGCCCCATCGATCGGTTTGCCAATTTCCGGCTCCAGGTCTTTTCTAGTGACGAATCATACATTAGCACTAGGTCGTCAACCCCTATCGGCGCCTTTTGGACCCGCAGATTTTTGTCCCACCTATCTTTTCCTTTCACCCTCTCTCTCTCGATGTTCTCTCCCCCCTCGGTTACACCGGTATCCAAATTCTCAGCTATTTGTTGGATTCGTGCCTCCAACAGTTCATTCCGGGTCATGTTGGTTTTCCATGAGACACTCGTCCAAGTTTCGATGTGGAATTCGATGGGCAGGGGACAATGCCTACCGAACCAAAGGGTGTAAGGAGGGTATCCCGTACTGGACTTGACTATGATATTATCGGTCCAAACCGCGTACCGCAAGTATCTCGGCCACTGTTCCGCGCTGCCTTTGCATCATTTCGCCAGAGCGTCCACAAGCGTCTGGTGCCCCCTTTCTACCGGTGCATTGCTCTGGGGGTGATAAGCGGTCGTATAGGTCGCCCCGATCCCTGCCTTTTCCAATAATGCCTTCACCTTTCGGCTCAAGAACTCTCCGCCCCTATCCATGACTATTCTCCCGACACATCCATACCGCGCGATATATTTAAGGAGAAATCCACTTACCTCCTCTGCCGTCTTCTTCTTAACGGCCTTTGCCTCTACGAATCCCGCGAGGTCATCCCGGGAGTTGATTATATACCGAAGTCCGCCGATCCCCTTTGGCATGGTCACTAAGTCAACATGGACCTTCTCGCCCGGAGCCGTGGGAAGCGACGGAACCAAGGGTTCCTTGTATCGAAGTGTAGCCCTCTTCTGGCAAGCCTCACATGTGGAAGAGTACTTTTCCACTTCCGTGTATTTCCCGTCCCACCAATAAAGCCTACGGACTTTATCGAAAGTACCCTTCACCCCCCTATGACCTCCAATGACCCCATCGTGTAACTCCTCTATGACCGCCCTTCTCTCCTCCGGATCGCACAGTACCCTCATGGGTATCGCAAACTTGGTGGGCCTTTTGAAGAGATGGCCTCCCCGTAAGCAATACCCCAGCGCCTCTCGCTGGATTCTTTCAGTCCCGCTTACCGTGAGATTTGCGTCGTCCAGTTTCACAAGGACGTCCCTGACGTCGCTCATGTGGTCCACCACAAACTTCCTCGCTCCGGTAAAAACCTCTGTCTCGTCTCGCTCGACCAGTCCTTTTATCGGAAAGTCATCTAGGAAGACCTCTACCTTATCCGGTATGAATTCCTTGAGGACTGCAATTATGGCCCGTTGGAACACCGCTACCCCATTCGTCCAGCCCATTGGTACCACCATCATTTGGACCAACCCTTGCGGCGTGTGCATGGCGGTCATATGCCTATCGCGATAGTCTAGGGGGATTTCGTCATACCTAGAGAAGAGATCGCAGATCGAGTATATCGAGCGACCTGCCGACCCTTCCACTAGCAAGTCGGCCTCGTATATAGATCCCACGTCCCTTATGGTGACCGCATTGGTCCTCTGGAGGTTTTGAATCCATCGCTGTTTGTTGCTACCCCCTTTTCTTAGAAAGAACCACTTATTGGAGTAGGCACTCTCGCAAGGTTCCGCAACGAACGTCCTAATCGTTTCCTTGATAAAAGCCACCATTTCCTCCTTCTCCTTTTGAGTGTACTTCCATTGGGGCCTATCCTTCCAAGGCACGTGCGGGACCGTGTGGATCTGGGCCGACTTAGCGTACCTTGGGTCGATCCTCCCCTTCTCCGAGTCATCAAAGGCGATGGCCTTATCGCACCCCCTGAGGGTCATTGCTATGAACCCCTTCTCTTCCTCCGTGAGGTTCCCATCTCCTATATCCATTTTGGTCAATCTATCGATCGTTATCCTTTGCCCTTCCGTCTCTTTCCTTTTCTAGATGATATCAACTATCTACTCCTTCGATATTGTAGCTTCCCCCGTTCTATCCCGGCTGACCGCGGCGGGTTTTACTTTCTCCGCCACAGTTTTGTGCTTCTTAATTCCGCCGGCTAGGGGGATACCTCCAAAAAAGACATACTCACGCACCCTCCGAACTCCTCCCCCTCGTCCTCCTTCTCGTACCCCATACCGTTAATCACAACCCTATCCCCTACGTCCTCGACCTCCAGTTGGTCCCCCTTGGGTCCCCTATCCGCCAAGGGCACCTCCTCCAGACGAACTCGGCACACCCTCGACTGACTCCCCTTGCGTCTAGCAATGCTGGTCCGGTTGCGTTCATCTTGCGTGTCTACAGTCTTCAGGACCACTCGGATTCCATCAAGATTTTGGATCGAGAGGGTCTGACTTCCATCAGGCAAATCCACCGTGGTCGCGTGTACTGCGCTCAACCAGGTCCTTCCGAGGATCAATTCGGAGGAGCACTCTTTACTAAAAAGACCGGGACCGGGACCTCTACGCCCGCGACTTCAATTACGGGGCTATGACACACCCCTTCCGCCGGTTGCAGCTTGTTGTCAGCCACTACCATTGACATCGATACCACTCAATCTATCTCCAAACCCAGCTCCCGCGCGATGAAGTCCCTACACACCGTAGACTCGGAACCATTCTCCACTAGAGCCCTCATTTTCTTCCCACTTACCACTGCTTGGAGCTGGCTGCTACCTAACACATAGAATTTCCTGGCCTCTTCTCCCGAGAAAAAATTGGCAGGTAGTTCCTCCATGGTAATGCGGGAGGCCTGTACTTCTTCCTTGGTTGGACCTTCCACCCGCATTTTGGGTCCCCCTGCGAGCGGGACTCTTGCCTTCCTCGTGATGCTTAGGAGTTCTTCCCTGGCGCTTTTGCTGGCGACTAGATATTCCAAAAGTGTGCACTGCATAGGCTGCATCGGGGTCCTCCTAAGGGGGGCTACCGTGCCTATCTCATCTGGAGTGCACTTCATTTCGAACTTTTTAGGACCCCTCTTTTTAGGCGATTTGGGTGAGGTGCGCTTTTCCTTCTTTTCCTCCATCGCTTTTGCATCGGCCATCGGTTGGTCATTGTCGCCGCTCCTTACTTCCGTACCTTCCGTCACGCTCGCTTGGCTCTCGGACGTCTCGGTCCTAACCTGCGTTCTCACCCTTAGGCAAGACCTCTCTTCCTCGGGCTGGGTTTCTGTGAACTTAATGCTTGACACGTTGGGTTCCCTAATGGAGACCCCCCTGGTGACTCCATCATTTGGATATGAGCTGTGTTGGAGGAGATCCCGATTTCCGGTTTCTTCCCCAGCCTGGCCTCCTGGAGGGCCATCCTCTTGTCCACGTTCACCTTCATTGATGGGTAAAAGGAGACCGCCTCTCCGCTATCCCCCCACACAACCCACTTGTTCTTATTCAGCTTGACCACTCCCAACCTTAAGGCCTCTGTGAGATAAGGGCAATCCCTTTTGATGTGATTTTCTTCATTACAGTAGACACACCCGCTTGGGGCTTGTGGGTTGTTGGGACGCGGACCCCCTTGCGTGGCTGCCGCTATAGGCGCCGGCGGAGCCGGTGGTAGAGGTGCTGGCGGTGGTGGCGCCCTAACCTCCGGTCGTGGCCCAGAAGCCCTTGCTTGAGGGGCGTCTCCCCACCTTCCATCCCAAGCATCCTTCCAATGGGAACCCCCCCAATCAGAACCACGATTCCCCCCCATCTCCATGTCGTTCCTCCAACCTCCTTGGCCACTCGATTCGTTTCTCCATCCGGTCGGCCGTTCTCCCCACCAGGTAACAGGTGGACCCGGGGGCGGTCTATCGCTCCCCCTGGGACCATCGTTCCGCATGCCTCGCATTTTGCGGAGTGCCATGTCCAAGGTCTCTTTCATGTACTCCCTCACATCTACTCCTCCCCTTGTGAAAACCACCTCGGCGACTTTCTCGAAATTGGCGGAATCCCTCAGGGCCTTCTCAAGGACCTCTTTCCTTTTTTCCTCGGGTAGGTGCAGCATGAACATCACGCACCTATCTACTTCTAATAGCATCCCCCTATCCACTAGGGCTTGGGACAGGCGCTTGAACCTACGGGTGAAGGCTACCAAGCTCTCCCGTTCCCCCCTTGTAATTCGTCGCAAGCCCTCCACGGTCGGGATCAGGTCATCACAGGCGAAAGTCTGCAATAGGCTCGCCCTGAAGGTCCTCCTCCGTCCGTCCGAGGGGTAGATAGCCCGAATCGCCCTGAAGGTCCTCCTGAGCGGCGAGGAAGAAAGCTCCTTATTTTGCATACCGTCGACCGTCGCCAACTCCGCAGTGCAAGGGGGCGTGCGCGAGCGGCGAGGAAGAAAGCTCCCCATTTTGCATACCGTCGACCGTCGTCAACTCCGCAGTGCATGCGAATATCGCCTTTCGGGTCGCCCATGGAGTGCGTGTCGCGCCATCCCCGCTTGTCGCCCACGATTCCGGTTGTGACTGTGCACAGTGTTGCTGTCGTTTACTTCACTTTGCATTGGATCGCCATGACGTTCGGCCAACGAGGGAAGTTAAATAAAAAGAGGTGGTTAGAGAGAGAGAGAGAGAGAGAGAGAGAGAGAGAGAGAGAGGGAAAGTTGTTTAGTTTGATGTGCTCTCACCATTGGGCACAATGGTTCAAGACATTGAATACTGGGTTGATTGCGCAACCGGGTTTCGGTTGTGATGTGTGATATAATGATATTGCAATGTGTACATGATGCGAACTGTTTTTCATACGCTTCATTTGTATTGCTGTTTGAATGCTTGTTTCACGCGGCATCCTCACGTCGTCTTGGGCAGTCTCATGACTACGTGTAACCGGGTAAGTAGATGCGATTTTGCGATGCCATTCAAGTATTTGCTTCCGTCTTCTTTATCCACCAACTTGTTTTCCAATCATTTTTGTTTTTTGAACACGAATGCACTGACGAAGCAGATGAAGAAATGCAAAGCCTCGAATGGCATCCATGAACAACATCGAAATCGGCAGACGACAGAATGATCCTTTGCATGCAAAAGGATACACAGTGTTGAACTCAAACCGAAAAAAATCTTACGGAAGAAATTCATAGTTAAAAAAATCTGAAATATACGAAAGCTTTGACCACCGCTAGTAAGGCGAGACAAGTCCTCTCTGCAGGTAGCAAAAGCAACAACGCACGACGACGTACACACACAGGACCTCTATCCCCGACGCCGTCACCAATGCCACTCACCGACATCCCAACCCTCCACTCGACCTGTCCACTGCCCCTCCGTCGATGGACGCACGTCGACACCTACCCTGGAAAGAAGACACTACCCAAATACCGAACCCGCCACAGTGGACGGACTGCAGCAGTCATCGACACGACGAACAACCACCCCGATGATCGAGGATCGCCAAAAACAGTGCACTGTCCATGCACCGCGTGGAACTGCGAAAGAAGACACCGTACACGATCTGAACCACCTTCACGAAGACGATGGAACTCGACAGACCATCACCGTGTTTTAAGTAATCGACGGTGGCTCGATGGATAAGAGAAGCCTGCAGTTCGCACACATGAAGAAGTAGGAGAAGGCTGACGACGATAGCGACATTGCGGATCACGAGTGTTTCATTCGCTCCGGCAAAGCGTGTCGAAGTGCGGGCGGCTCGTCTGTTGAAGTGGCATTGCTCACTGGCTGGGGGGGAAGTTGAATTCCCAGATCCACACGTCGTCACACACCATTGCGGTCCACTTCCCATAGCAGATTCTCGTCGAACTCTATCCCTGCATCGAGAAGAATGTTGTGCAGAATGCAGACCGCGGTAAATTGTTGAGGCAGAGTGTCCAGGTTCGTCTTGTGAGTTCCCAGGAACAACCTCCACATGCTCTTCAACCTGCCGAACGCTCTCTCCACAGCCCCTCTGGCGACCTTCTGCTTCATGTCCAATCGTTCCTCATCGGGATATTGATTGATTCCTCTTTACGGGACCACCACCCATTCCGATGGAGGGTACCCGTTGTCGCCCAGGATGTACCCGTTGATTCTCACCCCACCCGACAACGTCACAGGTGGCCCACGGAACAGCGTCCCGTCTTCCACGCGCCTGGACAGGCTGGATAGCTGCATGATCCTGATGTCGTGGCAACTCCCCGGATACCCAACGAAAAGGTCCAGAATGCGCAGATTGAGGTCGACCATCACCGCTGCGACCACGGAGAAACGGTGTTTGCGGTCGAAGTAGTTCTCGCTGGGCGTGTTCGCCGGTTTGTCGACGTAGATGTGTCTGCAATCGACTGCTCCGTGGCAGTTCGGGAACCCCTTGTCCAGGAATGCCCGCAGCACGACATGTTTCCGCACCCCAGTTGGCCACGATCTCTTGTCCCTTATACCCGAAGCAACGGGGATCGCACACCACGATTATTTCAGAGGCTCTCCCCACGCCGAACAGCGATGTGCTGATGTGATACGTCTCTCCTGTCGCCCACCGGTACAGCGAGTACATGACGATCTGCTCCGGCTGCAGCGGTTCCCTGTAGAAGGTAACCTGTCTTTGGAGATGTGGAACGCAAGCTTCGTTGATCTCCATGAAAACTCACCTAGGCATGCGAAGCTTTTTCGGAAGTAGTCCTCACTCGCATCGTCGCAGACCCGCAAGTCCTCCCAAGTGCCCCCTGTGCTGCGCTTCATCCACCATCGAGGCGTCGCCGGGGGAACGACACCACACCCGACTGTGGCACGGAGCTGGAAGACGGCCTCCGAAGTGCGGATGCAATCCGGGGCGTCCACCACCCTCTGCACGAGCAGCCTCTGCCGACGCGCAGAAAGCCTGGCCTTCGTCGTCCCTGGCGTTCTCTCAATCTGGCTGCGGATCACAACGGCAAGCACAGCAGCTGCAACCGCCGTCTTCTCCGCCGACGACAACACTCCACGACAACCATCACCGCCACCGTCCATCGCTTCCTTCCAGCCTGGACACGAAGCCCGCCGCCGCACGATCACCTCCAATGACACCGACTCCGAAACAAGACACGCCTGCGATTCACGCGCTGCAACCCCTCCCGAGGGATGTGCCCACGGATGTGTCCCGCCGCCGCCGACGTCGTGGCCACGGAAACGCGAACACACATGCCCACCGCAGACCGATTGTGTGCGTCGTCGGTTTTGCGTGTCGACAACAATGACAACCGTCGTCACCCCACACCCTTCAAGTATGGGAGGCGATGGAAACAAACGAGGACCACCAAACCCTGCGCGTCGTGCCCTGCCCTGCCCACCAACGCCCCGCTCCGTCGCGTCGGCGTCGTCATGCACGCGTGGGAATTCGAATTTCATATTTCGAAACCGCCATTTCCCACGTTCGGGACGTCCACTTCCACGGCCCGTGAAGCGACGCCGCCATGCACCTCCTGGACCATGGACCCTCATCACGGACATCCCGAACCAGAGGACGGACAAACCCTCCCGCGACCGTCTGTAATATTATGAAACGGGCCGTGGAACCGCCCCAAGGATTCGTCTTCGGAGCACTTCTCCGAGGACAGGTGGAACAACGACTCTAAAAACTTAAAAAAATTCTGAGGATTCATTCTCGGGGCCCGAGGACGCGCCGAGGAGTGTCTAACGAGGTCCTTACTATCTTATTACGATGTAACATTTACGCATGAGTTCTGATATATGAATAATGAAAGGGAGATGCACCAAACCAAGTTTTGAATGGGATAAAACGAAATAAGGCTTATTGACTCCTCAAAAATGTCGGCTGCACTCCCACCGCCCTCGCAAGCTCTTCCACTGCTTCCGCGGGCGATGCTGCCATTGATGAGATATGTTGAGATGAAGGGTTTGGGTAAGATTGCTCCAGACTGCCAAAATGTGGTCGTCCCAGAGCACAGAGGCACTCCCTCCCCCACTCAAGAGTCAGGCGGGGCTATGACACTTTTCTCGGGGCATCCACTGTAGTCCGAGACGAGGCCAGCAGGGCGAGCTCAATGATAAAGATAAAACGTGAGGACAGCATGTCACTTCCCTGCGCACAGATAGCTTACGCCATAACCTTGCCAAGAGATCTTCAGGCTTCCACCAATAACTTATGATAACTCCTTTGACTTCTCATTCTCACACCCTAGAAGCTCGTGCTCTTAACCCTAAAGTGCACGAGACAAGAATACGGGTATTCCGCCAGCGCTGAAGCTGACACTCTGGCTCTTGGAGCTATCAAAACGCTCCCACGCTTGTTGTACACTCTCCCACTGCCCACACCAATGCCTGTAGCTCTACATCACGTTCACGCTTGCCACTTCATCCATTGACCAATGTATTTGAATGGAGGTTAGGGTCTGATGATTCTTCAAAATTTGCCCAAATTAGTCGGATATCAGTCTTGTCAGGATGCCCGGGCATAAGAGCACAAAGGCGCTCCCTAGCCCACTCAAGAGCTAAGTTATGCTCGTTCTCGGGCGGCTCAAGCCTTACGCCGCCCTTTACTTCCTTTGAAGAGTCTACAGTTGACGGTCGGATCTCGCACAGTGGCCTGTGCCAACGGTTTTCACCTTGCGGATCGAGCGGGCGAGAGTCGATTGGTTAATGAGGGATGAACGAGACGGGGAAAACCAAATTCAGGAGAGACTATGGCAAAATACTGGTTAAGGAGGCTTGGGTGAGTTTTCCCAGGCTCAATGGTAACTGGATAATATATTATTTTAATAAAAACAGACAATTCTAATGCAAAATTGCGGTACGCTGATTGGGTGACCAGAACTCGCGACCGCGGTCGAATTATAATTATGAAGTGAAGGTATCTCAAGAGTTGCGCCGGGCCTCCCGTCAAAGTGCGATGAGTCTTCGGGTGCTACGTCGTCGAGTTCGTCTATTTTTTACAGGATCAAGAGCCTGAGGGCTGGGGCCCGAAAAATTAATCGGTGCCCTAATTTACCGTGGTTACATCGGGTCACCGAAATCAGATGCGAAGACTCAGGTCCGCTACCAGACCGCTGCAATTTCCTGATGGTACGGCCTTATGGTACCACCAGTGATTGTTCGGAGGATGGGGTAAGCTCGGGCACACGCTCGGGACTGGGCTGGTACCGGAGCGCTGCAAATTTGTGCAAAAGGCCCGGTACCCGACAAAAAAAGGTTGACCTTGCTAATTTCCACTAAGGGCCAAGACAAACCCGGAATTAGTCTCGACGGTATGCCTGGTACCAGGGTGCTTCAAAAGGATCCGTACCCAACGAAAACGCCCCCTTGACAAGTAACTTTTCGGGGCACCAATTAAGTCCGGGTCTAGGTTCGGGAGGAGGCTTCGTACTGGGGCGCTGCAAGTTTCTCGACAGCGCCCGACACTTGGGAGGTTGAGGCCACAGTTGAGGCATGTGAAGCCGGGCCCAACAAACTATATAAGTCCAACTGGGCCCGAATTGGGGGGACTTCTCGGATGCGCACAAAAAAGGTACACTGGGCTGGTGCCGACACTCGGAAGTGTGTTGGAGGTCCCTTGGGGTACGAATCCCCGATCTAGGGCGTTCGAAACGTACCTGTTGGTGGGTACTCACCAGCGAACTGGTCCAACAGTGCATGATGACCTACGCACGACAACGGGGGTAAGCTCCTCAATCGCGCATGAGGAGGCACACCGAAGGGGGATATTTACCTACCTAATCAACACACGGGGAGACTAATTAGTCTTCCAATCATGCGCGAAAGTGGGGAGATATTCAGGACACACGGTTACTGAAATGCACGAAGCGGCCGTGGAACGCAGAAGTGGCAGTACTTTTCCCGTTGCCCTACAAACGACACTCTGGTAAAACTGGAATATGCAAGGAATCGGCGTGGCGATCGTTTCACGGTTAAGATCATTTTTCCAATTTTTTGCGTTATTTTTCCTAAAAAGATCACGAGCAAGCCTACATGACCCTGAAATTGCAGACTCTGAAATGCACTCCTTGGAGCGGGAAACATCGCAGCAGTTGGAGTACTTTTCTGTTGGTCTATGAACGACACTTTCAATTTGATAAAATTGTAATATGCAAGGAATCGACGAGGCGATCGTTTCACGGTCAAAACGATTTTTCCAATTTTTTGTGTTATTTTTCCTGAAACGATCACAAGCGTATCTACGGGACCCTCAAATTGCACACTTTGAAACGCATGTTTTGGAGCGGTAAAAATTGCGGCAGTTAGAATATTTTTCCCGTTGGCCTACGAACGACAGTCTCAGACTGGTAAAACTGGAATAAGCAAGGAATCGATGCGGCGATTGTTTCACGGTCAAAACGATTGTTCCAATTTTTTATGTTATTTTTCCTGAAAAGATCACAAGCAAATCTATGGGACCCTCAAGTTGCAGACTATGGGACGCATTCTTTGGGGGGGGGAAAATCATGGCAGTTAATCTATTTTTGTTTGATATTTTTCCCGTTATCCTACAAACGACACTGTCATAGTGAAAATACTAGACTATGCAAGAAATCGGCGCGGTGATTGTTTCACGGTTAAAATTATTTATAATTTATTTATTTTTGTTTGATATTTTTCCTGGAAGGATCACGACCTAATCTACCAACGACCAAAAATTCAGAAATTTTCGTGAATTTGTTTCCGACCGTGAAAAATCGCCAAAGTGGCTGCCTTCAAATTGCAGGACTAGATTCGCCGTTTTTGGCCTCTGGTCACCGCCCTCTCCCCAAGCGCGGCCCTAACTCAAAGGTCAGTTTAATAGATGAACAGAGCTGCAACCCGCTCAAGCCATAAGCACACTAGAGAGAGAGAGAGAGAACAACAAGATTGTAATTGTGCGAACAAAAGGATTTGAATGAACGTGGTTCGGGTTCTATTCCAGTTCACTGGACACTCCTTTCTGCCGAGTTGCCTATCATTGAGGGAATACTAGTTTGTTTGGGCTCATGTGGTCGGGGCTAGCTGATTGGAGGAAGATCATGCTTCCCACTCTCTGGCTGAAGTAGCAAATCCTACACTTGTTGAATGCTAATCAGCTCGAATGAGTCTGCTACAAAAGGATAACCAGATACATAGAGAAGCGGTCAAACAGACTTGGGGGGTCAATATCAACGGTTTATATGGCAGAGAGGCCTCAACAGACTCAACGCACATTCAACATACTCAGCAAGTGGAGTGAACCAAAGGTTGTGGACTCAACTGACTGAAGCTAACTACGATAGAATCTAAGTGTACTCGGTCAGCGTTTGGGCAGTGCTAGAGGTTTGAGCGACATTCACAACCAACCTGTACCAACAGGCCCAACAGACTGAGCACGAGATCAATGGAAGGGTCATAAACTCTCCATCAACCAGACTTAGCGGAGACCGAAAATGTAGACCTCGGGCTCTATCGACAACGAACAGTAGACACAAAATGAGGCAAATCACGAAAATGACAAACTCAGAGTTAAGACTTCGAGAACAGATTGAGCAAGGCTGACTCTGGCTGAGAACTCGGACACATCCGACCATTTACAGACTCTTATGCGGACCCAAACCTAAGTTTACACATTGAGGCTCAGAGAAACCAGTCTGTGGACTCATACTTAGGCTGGGGATTGAGACCCAAAAAAACAATCTGCAAAACGCAAACTCAACAGAGTCAACATACACCATGAGTAGCAGCGAAGAGTACTCGGAAATTTATAGCATGCATGCTTGGGCGAGATACCCGAGGTTGTATCAAAGTGGAAAAAGAAGGAGGAAGGAAGTGCCTACGTCTGCATGGCCAGGCCGCGGCGTGGGGGACGTAGCCTCACTCCACTCATCGATCCTGTCATGCAAGCGTTCTGGCCAATAGGACAGAGGAAGAAGTACGCGTGCATAGGGATGCCACAAAAGTTATCAAGAACAGGAGGATTACGGTTGCAATTATGCCCGCCAAAACAAAAACTACGGTTACACACAAGGATTAAGGAGCGAAAAAGTCAGAACAAAAATCCTGATGCAGCAAAGCGTGCGCAAGCAAGAAGCGTCGTGTAACAAAAATTGAGACACACCTAAATTCCTAATCTAAATCCTAATTGCAAAAAAAAAATTTGAACGAAGCAAATTTCGAGAGCCCACGGGGTCTTGACCTCAGTTGAAAGTTCAAAAAGATTTTCCCGCACGACGCCCGCACCAAAATTCTCATTTCCCACTGCATACGAAGAAAGAAGCTATGACAACATTTATCTTTCGTTCTCGCTAAGGTGCGACCAGCTACCAATCGTTACAAGATCACCCCGACCTCGATTCCGAAAAACAAGAAAAGCAAGGGCAGCCATGTAATCCCTCGGCCTGTCCCGATTCAACCTCCGAAGTAGCCTTGCGCAGACAATCATGCGGTTGCTGAAAATTGTTCGTCACAGGGTTGTCTTTTGGGGGAGAGGAGTAACCCTTTTGGCTCTTGTAACCCCTTTACATGTAACTGAGACCTCAATAGGCGCTGGAGTTTCCATGGGGAAAGAAGGTTGTTTTTCC